TTTCTGAGATTTTGCCGTAATTTTTTTGTAGAAAAAGAACATTCTGTGGCACCATGAAGACTATCAGAATAAACTGAACAGTCTTAAAGGTGCCATATGATTCCATTGTTATGGTATCAAGATGCTTTTATTTTAATATCAGTTAAGCAGTTGAAAGACAGAAAGGTCAAGGTGGGGCAATACAGCAAACTGGTCAGCACAAACAGTTTGGGAAGGCCCAGGTGAAGAAGCTGTCAGTGGGCACTTCTAGGCTGTGGAACTTGCTACTCAATGGGGGGGGGGGTGTTTTAGGGCACAATCCTATGCTAGCTGGGGCATGCTGGGAGTTGCAGGACTTTCTTCTGTGTAACCATGCATAGGACTGTATCTTGAATCTATTTAAAACTATTTTATAAGTGCCATTTTTGATAGAAAGGCAGGGTATAAATCAAATAAATAAATTAGAGATGGGTCCTTAACAGGCACTTAAAGAACATCATAGCGGGCACCTCCCAAATGGTGCGGGAAAGGGCATTCCAGAAGGTGGGCATCTTAACTAATTTAAGTCCATCAAGTTCAATGGGTCCACTTGAAGTACAACTAGAACTAGGTGCAGCCCCTGGTATACTGAGAAGTACACGAAGCCTGCAGCAGGAAACACCAGTTCTTGCATGGCCAAGGAAGTATGAAGTACCTGTCTCCTACCTTGTTGGGATCCAAAATTCTCCCCTTGCTTCCTGCAAGCAGGCAAATCTCCATATACTGTGTTATACATACATAATCGTGTTAGGAACATGAGAGAAATGACTTGTTCCAGAAAACAGATGACTGCAGAATTCGAATGTTATATCAGGCAGCAAAGTGCCTGAGCAGACACGAATGTGCCTCTTGGAATAGTGCACTTCAGGTGTCAAATTCCCCAGCTTTTTTTTCCTTTTGGTACACATCACACATTGAGGCTGGCAGGATTACCACGTAGACCTGAAAGCAGAAATTAGCCCTTCATGCATATGCATATAAGGCTGGTGGCAAAAGGTGGCCAAATAGGGAGCAGGAAAGAAAAGCAGAGGCACATTCTGGAGGAACGGGTCAAAACACTTGAAGCTGACATCTGATGAGAGCCTTTGTGGCATACTTCAGAGTTGCTCCTGCCAGTCTGGGGACTGATGCACCAACATCAGGCAGCAGAATGGGAAGAGTGAGGAACTGTGCTGCTCTCCCCACCCGACGCCTGCCAGGAGGGCCCTCCTGTGCCTCTTCTGGTGAAGAGCCCTGTCAACAGCTCTTCTGCTGGGGCATTTGCTGCTGGAAGAGCGCAACTGCCAGGGCTTCCTAGAGAAACTGGATGCCCTCCCAGCTGCTGCTGCCATGAGTTCTTACCATGGGCCGCAGTCCTACCTACTTATCATCTTGGCAGGCCGGCTGCTCTCCTACTTGCTCAATCAGCTGGCCACTCATTTGCCTGCGCTCTCACTTCTGCCTTGTTTCCCAGCCATGAGGCTTTCATGAGATCAGTCAACCTCTTGTGATGGTTCACTTGTATGAGTCCTACAACTGGGCACAAGGCAGGAGCAAGAGTGTAGGTTGGAAGGACTGAGTAGCCAAGCAAATGAGTGATCCTTCAGAAGGTCCCTGGTTCAATCTTCTTTCAAAGCATGGAGGATGTCTGCCCGTGTCTGCTGGACATGATGGCTACATGCCTCCAAGGACCAGCAACTAAGCCTGAGGAGCAATAGCAGCAGAGAAAGTGTTAGCTCAAGGCCAGCTTGTGGACTTCTTGGAGGCATCTGTTTGCCCACTGTGGCAGACAAAATGATCTCCTAGCTGGGTCTTTATTTGGTTCTGATCCAGCAGGACTATTCTTTTGTCCTTAAACGTTCCATGTTTCAGGTCTGAGATACCACCAGACACACAGAAGTAACAGCAAGTATTTAAAAAACATAACTGTTTCTTATACACCGAAGCCACATCTTCTCTGTGAATTAAAATGGGAAGCATGACTCATTCTTACAGTACAGTTGGTTTTACTTTTAGACTGAGAAGAGTAAGGATTACCCACAGAACTCACTCCTTCCTGCATTTCCCCATGAGTCATAGTATTGAGCATGACTAATATCTAGAAGGAGGCATCCTTATGTGGCGAGTCATATGGAAAAGCTGCTGGCTGTCTCCTACAAAGGTGGGTGGCAATCCTATTCTATTCTATCCTTCCCATTAGGAGAGGGTGAACTATTCAGTCACTGCTGAAGTCTCCTGATACCAATGAAACTGAGGAATGGTCAAAGCAGTGGTGCGTACCGTGTGCAACTTCCTCTGTAGAAGGGCTTCGGAGGCTGCATTAATCCCTTGGGGCCTGGTCCAGCCAAACCACCTCACTTCAGGTTTGATGATGCTCAGGCTCCAACAAAACCACTTGTGTCAAGGATGATACACAGCTTACCGAATGCCCTGACGACACACAGACACAGAATACGAACAAGCAAATGAAAACCTACACTCCCCTTATCTGTGGCCATATGAATTCCCTCAACAGGTCAGCTGATGCCCTGGAAGCCTCCCTGTTGTCCAGGTGAGCAACACATCAGTTCCTTTCCCCAAGCCGAGAACAAAAGACAATGCCTCTTGCCATGGGTTTTCTAAAGGCGCACTCACCCTGTTTCAAAGGCTTCCAGGCTCTAATCCCAATTTTAGGGAGATGTTGGAATTAAACTGTTTAATGAAGGAAATAGTTTGGTTTTGCAGCAAAAACAGCCCTTATCTAACATATATAGTTGGGAAATCAACTTCACAGCAATAAACTCTGGTGCCCGTCCTATCACTCTGTACAGGATAAAATCCAGATCCATTTGCTTATCAAGATTTTTGATATGTAACTCATACACACTGTAAGAGAAACAGAGCAAACTGTAAACTGAGAGCTTCAGTTATTGGGTTATATATAGATTATATAGATTCTATAGAAATATAACAGCAGGGAAAGGTTTAAACAGATCTACGAGGATTAATTTTTCATCAGGTCCTTCTTGAGGTTCCTACCACAGTGAGAAGTTGGGTTAAAGTAACCCTGTTCACACAATCACAATGTGCATGCCGGTTCTGAACAGCATGATTAACATGATTACCCTTACCAGGCATAGGCTGTCATGCTGTCAGGAACAGATGGGAGCAGCTGGCTGGGGTGTTTTGCAAATTGCCCTGAAATCAAAGAATAAGCCATGGTTGTCACGGTGGCTTAAGATTCCTCACCATGTTGAGATGGCTCCCTCACTGTCAGCTTTTAAGTGGCCCTGCAGACCATGGGATGGGTTTTCATTGCAGTTAAAGCCTTTTAGGATCTGTTATCCTGCTGCTTTTTTCTGTTTCATTTTGATGAAACCATGTTCTTTCATTGTGCATTTACATGTATAAAATGCTGCTTTAATATGTCTCTTGTAAGCTGCCTTAGGTCCACTTTGCGCAAAAAGACAGTGTACAAATGAGAAGAAAATTTTGCAAGGTCCCGGCTATCATGATCAGGCAACACAGAGCAATTTTGAATCATTAAAATAGCAACACAATATTACCAGCAGTGCTACATTTATTGCCTTGCTTCTTCAAAGGGGATATGAAAAAGATTTGTGCTGCTAGTGCCACATTCAGGCCAATCACCAGTGCCATCCAAATGTAAAAGAACTAGTACAGAAAGACATGGTTTGATTTCCTCTATTTCATCTTATTCCATTAAGAGACTGGGTGCAGTTCGAGAAATTGAAGCCCTATGAGACAGAAGAATCTGAAGTTGGAAGCTTCTGTGAAGCTTCCCTACCAGGCTGCTGCTAGCCATGCACCAGTCTGACATTTCAAAACATCTTCTGGAGACCCCAGGGTAGGCTGACAGGGAGGCCATCAAACCTGCAGGGGAGACTCAAACATGGCACAATTATGAACTTTATGGGCCACATTCCCCTTACTTGGCTAGCCCTCTTCTCAAAGTTCTCATCTCCCTCTTCCCATCACTACACTGACTGGTCCTTCACCTGCCCTCCCCGTGAGCCACACAAGGGAGCCCCCGGAGGGAACCAAAACCCCAAAGACTCCATTGCCATGATTTTACGGGGGGGGTGTCTTGTACCACGCCAAAGGGGTGACCCCCTCTGGCATCTTCCCCTTTGGGGTGTTGCTGCCCCACTTCTGGCCCAGCAGATACAGGCCTTCTCTTGAGACAGGTACTGCCAGCTCCTCCTCTTGCACACTAAGTCTGCTTCTCTTAGTAGCAGGAAAGACAGGCCAGTGGAAAACTGGACCTGGCTGATGATCACAGAAGACAACAGCTCGCTGCCTTGATGAGTGTCCCAGTTTGCCTGTCTTTGACATCAGGCTTTCAATCCCAAAGAAAGTCATATAGATTGAGCTTTCCCTTTTGGGGTGCGAGTTTGATGTGACTTGAGGTGTGAGGTTTCTTACCATGAACTGTTGAATGAGTTGTTTGATGTGAATATCCATCCGATTATTGGTGCTGGATATTGTTAACTGCTGGCATGTCTTATGCTTATTTAAATGAATTCTCATTGAAGTAATATTTTAGTGTTATTAAATTATAGCTGTTGCATTTGGGTTTGTGGACTGCTTTTAGTGCAATGCATTGTGGAAAATGCAGCATACAAGTAAACTAAGATTAAAGTCTAGAAAAACTCTAAGTGGAAAGAGAAGAATGACTCAGCACCCTTCAGCACAGAAAGTACTATTAACAAATAGAGTAGAACAACACATTTGTCCCACCAGAATAATCTCTCTGTCCATAGGACTGAGCCACTCATTGTTTTGAATGTTTCTTAAATCTGCATATTCAGGAGCAGGTGGAGAAGGAAAAAAAGTCAAATTAGACTCACCCGGAGAGTCATCTTGGCTAATGGATGGAATAGAAATTTAATATATAATTAAAAAGAAGTTTAGTAAACCAAGGACACACTGACCTTCCTGTCTGCAAGAGCTCTGCAAGGCGACATTGCAGCAATTTAAAATGATACACAATATAACTTGAGTATATCAAAAGTAACTCTTTATAAAAAGTTTATAATATTGCTGCAAAGTACAACTGTTATTTTCCAAAATACACACACTTGCAAACTACATTAACATTGCATAATAGTCATGTTCCATATTCACATCTGAGAGAGGGAGGGAGAGAGGGAGGGTATACTTATCAGTGCAAAGTACAGGCACATGAATATCCATAATACAGTATTGCAGGGCCTCCTTGCATTCCAGAGAGGCAATAAACAGATTTGACAAACAGGAATGATTAGTTTACATACTCCTGCGCATATGTTGTAAGACAGGGCTCGTCTCACAAACACAGAGCATGGCCCTCAAGACTCAAATCATTGAACTGTTACATAAAGATCAGCTATTACTTAAGTCTGTCACTACCTTTTTATAATGTAGACCTGGGTTTTACTAGCAACCCATTTTTGATTGTCAGCATTTACCTTGTCAATTGACTAATTACTCTGTAAAAACAAAATCTGACACAGGTGCACATATGATTAAAAATAGTACCTATATCATGTTTTCTGTTACCTTTCTTTTTCTAAAAGCCTTCAGCATGTGCCATTTGAAAAAAGACAGCAGTTTGTCAGTTCTGGCAGAGCTCTGCTATGAAGCAAATTTGGTTATGAGTTCCATTTTAAAAATACATGAAACTTTGCCAGTGCGAGTCCAAGCATTCCTGCCTCTCACACACAAATTTAGTAAGTTGATTTTGTTGTGTTTGAACTGGAGGAATAAGAGGGTGTTTTCTTTGGGTATCGGTTTGAAGAAAGGGAGACTTGCATCCTCTTCGTAGTACGCACACTTCTACAGAGGAGAGCGTTTTTCAGGTTATCCCTAAAGTCTTTCGAAACAAAGTAATAGATGAATGGATCGATGCAGCTGTTTAGAGTAGAAAGGCACAGTGCTGTGATGTACGATGCGTATATCCTACTGTTACCATAGGTTTTGATTTGGGCATAGTGCACCACAAGCAGAACATTGCTGGGCACAAAGCATATCAAGTACATGGAAAGCACCGTAATAATGAGCTTGATAGCTCTTTTGCGCTTCTTCCCGATGTTTACATCTGTAATGGAAGCATTCAAAGTCTTTATCATGAGGATGTAGGAAACAGCTGTCAGAATGGCTGGGAATAAGAAGACTCCAATAGCTAGAGAGAGGAAGTAGCTATACATGTCATTGGCCAAAAGTGCATGAGGCAAAACATCGTGACAAGTGGTGATGTTGAGGTTAGCTATAGAAACAGTTTGGGTAGGAATATATAATGGAATGGTTCCGAGTAGAATCAGGATCCATATTGCAGCTGAAATTCCGATGGCGATTTCCGATTTCTTCCTTGAATGCAGTATGGGGTTCACAATGACCCAGTACCTTTGAACACTGAGGCATGTCATGAAAAGAATGGAGCAGTACATGTTTCCGTAGAAGAACCCAACAAGGACTTTGCACAGGCCTTCCCCATAGATCCAGTTGTTGCCATTAATATGATACGCAATCTTCAGAGGGAACCAAACCACAAAGAGGAGATCTGCCAGGGCCAAGTTAGCCATATAGATCACTGCTGGGTGCTTCTTCTTTGTTCTCAAGAAGAAGACCCAGAGGGCCATTGCATTGCTTGGTAAGCCAACTATGAATACGACAATGTAAACAATGGGCAGGAAAACTGTAGTCAACTTCCCAGTAAGGACTTGGGTTGCGAATTCATCTATTTGGTACATTGCTCTAGAGGTATTGCTTGCATTGGTTTTATGTCCAATAAAACTTCTTCCTTTTGTGAAGGTTTCATTTCTCACTAAAAAAAAGAAAGAAAGCAAAGGTGTCAGGCTACTTATTGGTTAAGTGTGATAGGTAATACTTACAAATACTCTGATACTATAAATCTATTTACTATTAGACTATAGTACCATTGAACAAAGAGTTCAATTTAGCAAGCTTACTCCTGGAAAAGAGCCAGTAAAACAAGCTGTGAGTTGTCTGTTAGTAAAACATTTAGGAGCTACCATATTTCAGCTTCCACATGGAAGCCGAGAGAGACTGCCTGGAGCAATCAACTGAGGGTGGATTAGGCATGAGAGGGGTGAGCAACTCTGTCCCATGCTACTCTTCCATTGTTCAAGACCCTCTCATGAGTGACCCCCACCCCCCCACACACACACCTCTAGGGAGCTGCTGTGGCAGGCCTGAAAGAGCAAGGACTTTTTGAAAAAACCCATTCAGTCTTTAAACTATTGTGCTGGATAGTAAACACAGAAAGACAGACAGGCCAGTAGCAATCCTAGGACAGTTAGATTCTTTTAAAAACAAAATAACTTTGCTTGTTGCCTGGTGATTACTAGGATATCACCAAGGGCTTCCTGATATGGGCCTTCTGGAAATTCTGAACTGGAAAATTGCCAAAGGCAGATTAGGCTAACTTGCATATGGATATTTGCATTGGAAAGGCTTAAGTTGGAATTGAAAAATCACTAGAGAATGATCAAATTTAGTTTGTGTTTTGTCTTGGACTCAGTACAGCACAAGTACATGACCTGAATATTCAGGGAAAAATAGTAAAGCACATTTAGGGTGTGATCCAGTGCTCTTTAATGCAGATGCACCCAAGCCTCTAAACCCAGAGGTTTAGGTGCATCCAGTGCATGTAGCAAAGCAGGATATGCTGTGCCTCACATCATATATCTCAGATGGCCATTTTCAGCCTCCTAGATTGTGTGTGGGAAAGGGGGAGGGAAGAAGGCAAGCCATGTAAGCCATGGGCTTCAGCCCCCCCCCCCCCACCTCATTTCCTTCTCTCTGGAAAGGAGAGAGGCTGGAGCTTCAAATAATCCCATGAGCCTCCCATGCAACCCCAAGGGGCACCAGATGGAGCACTTAATGTGATTTAATTATATTATATAGATATTTGTACTGAAATACATACACATTCAAAGATAATAATATACTATCCCTGTTTAAATGTAAGTAAGAAAGACCACACACTGAAAACTACTGACACTTTAATACCACTTTGGCCAACCTGAAGCCTTCCAAGGGTAAGACTACACTTCCTAGCATATTTCAGTCAGCATGGAAGGCACCACACTGGAAGCTGTGCAAATTAATTTTAGCACCCCTTACAACTGTGTGGAAAACCACTCATCTGTTTCAGCCAAGTTGAGCTCTCCCACACCAAGGTTGCTGGTACTTTCAGTTTTGTAGTCACTACCTGTTACCTGTTAATTCCATTTTCCTCTGAGTCACAGATATATTTCAACAATGTCTTACATACTTGCTAGGGATAAGCACTTTAATAATGTTTATTACAACTTCAGAAGCTCCTAGCTTTGTTGTTGGTATTTGCCATGCACTCATTTTCATTGACGAATTTACAAAATAGTACATTTTTCCACAAGCACAATGCACCTCATATCATTAACTGGCACCCTCCAGAAGGTTGGACCATAATACCAATAAGCCTCACCTAGATTTTGGGATAGTCCAATGCATCTGGAGGGCACCAGTTGGGGAAGGCTGTTCTAGAAGGCACCCATCAGTTATACAGAATAACTAAGACAAAAAAACATATGGCACAGAGTTTGCAAGTGTAAACTAACTTGGCCCAGTTCTCATTGGTGCTCGTAAACCTGGGTCTGGGCTAAAGCAGCAAGCAAGGATAAAACTACACATCACCCAGACAAAGGCACCTTCTCAAACCTGTATTTTGCCAAGATGAATATTGACACTGGTGGGCAGAAGGGCATGCTTAATTCAAGCTATGCCTGCTAATAATCCCCTCAAGAGCCCTAATCGCTGTTTTACTTTTATGTTTTTATCACATCTTTCCTGCAAGGAGCACAGAATAGTGCTTCTCATTCGCCCTCTCATTTTCTCCTTATATCTAACTATGGATGTAAGTTGCTAAGCCCAGCCTAAGATTGCAACAGGAGATCATGGCTTGGTGGAGGAAAGACTTATGAGTGGCTAAAAAAAGAGGATCAAGGACAACAATTAGTATACACTACACATACAGTACTTTATGTGTATAGATGGGGTATGGCAGGGGGCACTACCCTAACGCTAAACATTTTAAAAATAATTTAGTTTAAGCAGAACCAAGTTACATCTCAAGATAGGGCAGAAGTCTGTTACCAGGTGACAGGTGTGCCTTCCAGTTTAGGCAGCTGCTAACCTGCTGCTGATGGGCCATAATTGTTATGGTTCTTTATCCTTAAAGTGAAATTGGAGAAGAGGATGCTCCTCCATAAAGGACACATGGCAACCCTACTCATGTCCAAGGGTATCTAAACCCAGTTCTCCTCAGTAACCCACCACCCTAATTCAGCCTTCCCCAGCTGGAGCCTTCTGGATGCTCTTAACAGCCAGTCAGATCTGGCCGTTCTAATCCCCACACCTTAATGTGGGTACCATAAGCTGGGACACCAGCTGTGTCCCAGCTTATTTTTATATGAGCACCTGGGAACACAATAAAAGGCAGGAAAAGCCTGTCAGACTTCCTTGAAGGTGTTCCTCCTCTGCATCATGGTTATAAAACAAACAGCGCATTGGCAACGGCGTGTTTGACTCATAGCATGAAATTCCACATAAGCAAAGAGAAGCTAGGCCAAGTTCTTCAACACCTGCTCTCAGACACCAAGCACTGGTTAGTCAGGACAAAGCTCTCTTAGAGTAAAGTTGTTAGACACCTAAATGCAGAGCTTCAGTGTGGTATGAAGTTACTACTGGATGCCAAATGGACCCACTGGGTCAAAGGCTCAGCCATTCATGATTCTGGTAGTAAGAAAGATGGCTGCTGTGGGTGCTTATTCTCAAGGACAGTTGGGTGGACTTCAGAGAAATTGGATTGTGAAGCAGAACTGGGGAAAGCCTGGGAATGTGGGTCAAGCTGAGACACTGAGATGAGAGGAGATGCTTATCTCAAGGTCAGACTCCCAAGGTGGACAGACAGTCTCTGGGATAACCAAGACGTATGGTTGGTGGGAGGAAACTTGGAACAGGAGACTCAGATGAGGTGAGTATGGCTCTTGACCTCATGATGCATTGGCAGCAAAGGAGGGTGGCCCAATTAGAGGATCAGTACATGCAAAAGAGGCATGCTCACTTTCAGAAGGTCCCTCGGAAAGGAAGAATGAGGCATGCACTTAAGGAGAGTTCCTGGAAGTGATTGCTAGACTGAGTTCAACAAACTGCTCTGTTCATGCTCAAAGATTCATTCTGGATGTTCTGTGCTTTTGAGGTCAATAAAGAATTTTTTCGCAAGGAAAATGGTCTGTGGCCTTTGAATGCACAAGGAAGGAACCCCGGCTGAACCATTAGCAAGCCCAGTTTCCTTCTGTTCATGAGAATGGTTCATTCTTGGAACTACCTGAAAACCAGAATGGAAAGTCTGCTTTCACTACCCTTGCCAGTTTGTGCACAAAAAGGTGCTGAAGGGAACCATGCTCAAAAGGAATGCTTTTCCCACCCCACCATATTCACTTTGATTCTCAAAATATTGCCATGCCCATCAAGAAGGTCCTGAACTGCTACTTGGAAATGTTGGATGTTCAAGTTCTTCTGTCTCTGCCCTTGTACATTCCATAGCTAACCTCCACCCCTGCAGTTACAGAAGCTTTGGAGCCAACTGAGAAGAAAACATGTCCTTTTTAATTCCTCATGACTTCCCTAGGCAAAAATTAAACTGAAATTTTTGCCTAGGAACATCTCTAAGTCATATGATACGTGCATATAAATCTTTCCCTGCAAAGAGAAGGGACTCGGGGTAAGTGAATTCCGATCCCCTGTCTGAACACTCTCCTTCCACAAGAGATGCACCACCTGTCCTTCTGAAACGTTCCCTGTTTCTTAACTAGGGCTACCTGTACTCTGCATGTCACTTTCACTACAATTGTCTCCCCCATCCCAAAACAAAAACAAAACAAAACAAACAAAAAAACCAGAAGGATAAACACTCCTGAACAGAGCTCTTTCATAAAGCTCCATGCAGTTATTCACCTGAAACTCTGTATGTGTGATTCACTCAGAAGGGGAAACTTGCTGATTCTGCCAAGAAATAAAGTAGTTATTGGCAGCTCCTTAAAAATAAAAATTTAAAGTGACAGACCCCTGTACAACTATTTGTCTGAAATATGGCAGGTATTATTATAAGGTATTGTTATAATACCTGCTGCACACTTCATTCAATTATAGGGAACATAAACAAGAGTATATCCATTTGTTAATTCAAATGATAGTTAATGGGAGCTATGATTGCAGCCCTCTTGGGGAAAAAGATTATGCCCCCCCTTATCTGAATGCATAGACGTTTAGAAAATAATCATCAAGTAGTAACCATCAATTAAATACTCTCTGTGTGCTTCCTACAAATGAGCACAAGAGACATTCAGACTTATTTAAAGGGTTTACAATGAAAGGGGAAGCTGCAAGAGCTATCATGAATGCCATAATGCCATTAATAGCAACAGAGCAGACATCTTTTTTATATACTTCCTGAAAGTTTCAAATGTATATGAGAAAATCAAAATAAGATTAAAGTCCATGCTTGATGGACACACATGCACACACAAAAACACAAAAAGTATGACACAAGGATAAACAAAAGTTGCCCAAATGATGATGGTAAAGCCATGCATTCATTCTGCTAGAGTTCCTTTAACAGGACTTGCATTTCAAAATTGAAAAGCTCCAGGTTCTAGTCTCATTCTTGAAACTTTAGTATTAAAAAGGGGGGAAGCTACATTACTAGGAAAGGTAGTCATTTTTCTTGATGGTGAGCAGTGGAACCAAATACTTTGATTTATATATGATTATGACCTCTCATACTTTGCTCATCCAGAAAGCTGAACTGCCTTCATCTTGCTGCTTAGGCCAAATTAGCAGCAAAATAGGGAGTCCTTATGGTGGACAAAATGGAACAAGTTATGATAAGTCCATTTTGGAAGCATTCCCTATTGTGCAATTCAAGATCATAACTTTGCTGCAAGATTTAAGTCCCAGATTTTTGCTCCACGGAACATACCCAGTAGGCATCAAAAATGACCGAGCCTGTCAGATTACAGATGAAGGCAGCTATAATACATCACATGGGCTGTGAGTTACCCCATATGCATTTCCACTGATCCTCTAACTGCTCCCCAAAACCTCCTCTTTGTGTCTTAATAAATGAACAAAATTGTCTGCTATTGTCAAAAATACAATAGTTTGACAAATTCAGGTTAAAGATTCAACAGGTATTTTGCATTTGCATTTCTCAAAACAGATCAGCCCAAGAGGAAAAAAAAAACTTTTTATACATCTTTAGCCTGAACCTTCAGGGAGAAAAAAAATGTAACATCTAATGTCTGTTAGCAAGGGCTTCCTGCTTTCTGAGCAAATGCCACTAATTCAAGTGAGAAATTTACACAGATACCCATATCTCATACCAGTCTCCCTCCCCACAAGCTGCTGCCTTCGGGACACGATCCCATCTCTCAGGTTGCGGGAGGCTGCTCTATCACTAATAGCTCTTGGTGAGCAATTCACAAGCAATTCTACTTTGGAACTTTCAATTTTGTGAAGACAAGGGTAAAGCAAACAGGGTTGTCAAAGAGGCTCCGGCCATCTTCTGCCTGCAATGAGCAATTCAACGGATGTATCTGAAATGAGCACCACAGTTCTCAAGGGACAGCACTGTGAAGGTACTGGGTTTCGATAAGGGGCCATAGCTTAGTGGCAGAGTACCAACTTTGCATGCAGAAGATTCCAGTTTCATTCCCTAGCACCTCCAGGTCGGGCTGGAAAAGCTCCTGCCTGATGCCCTGGAAAGCCGCTACCAGCCAGTGCTGGACTGGATGGAGGGAGGCAGAGTCTGACTCAGTATAAGGCAAATTTGTGTTACCCCTTCTCAGTTGCAGTGAATGACCTCATGTTTCAGGGATGTCTTAAGAACAACGTAGTCTTTTGTCTGTCTAGACATGTGTATGATTGAACCTGCTTCATTAGATGCCTCGCCAAGAAGAGCAAAGCTGTACGCAACTACCAGTTCCCATTCCCCCAAATGCTAATTCCCTTTTGGGGAATTAACAGGAAGTTTTTAAGGATTTCAAGCGTTAGAGATAGGCATTTAGGGCACAACTCTATACATGCTTAAATAGAAGAGGAAAAAAAAGCTGCCCGGGGAATGCTGGGAGTTGCTCGACTTTTTCTTCCCTGTCTGACCACGCATAGCTGCGCGCCCTCAAGTGCCTGTGGCATGAAAGCAAAACTGTGCCACGAAGAAACGCAAGTTTGCTCCGAGTCCCTGGTTGCAGGACGCAGAAGAACCAGCGTGGAGAAGTGCTCGTGAAGCCAGGCACTTCGATCACCGCCACGGCTAAAGATCTTTATCCAAACGCCACTCAGCGCGACTCGGGAGTCAACATTCCTCCTTCTCGCGGAATAACTTCTTGCTTGCCCAGCGCTGCGCCGGGACCCAAGTCCAGGGCCTGACGGGCGAGTGAAACTGCCCCGCCCCGCCCCGCCCCACCCCACCCGTGGGCTATTTCATTATCTGGTCGAGGAATAAAAGCAGTTTCTGAGGAGGGAGGGAAGGAAATTAAGACACGAGCGATCGCAGCCCCTGTGCGGCTGCAGCTGCTCCTTGCACACGCCCCCCGCGAATCGTCCGTCTCGAGCGAAAACGCGTCCAATGTCTGAACCAACCAGGTCAAGGAAGTCCAGCGTCAGGCGCTGGGATCATTCGGCTTCCCTGCCTCCGTCCCGCGTTCTCGTCCTCACCTGTAGCAGACCCGAGCGCCAGAGCGCCAGCCAAGACCAGGCTCCGGGGCCAAGCCCAGCTCGCGCGCCCCATCGCCGCGACACGAGTCTCGCTGGGCGGCTGCGACGGACACCAGCACCTCGCTCGACGACCTCCTCCTCCTTCTCGCCGCCAGTGCCTCTGGAGTTTCGTCACTACCTAAAAAGGAGAGGAGAGCAGGGGGAGGCGGGGGAGGCGGGCGGAGCAGCCGAAGCACCTGGTCACGTCAGCGCTGAGGCCCCGCCCCCTCCGCGCCAGGTGTGCGTCCTCTCCGCGCGGCCCGGGCGGTGCGCGTGGCGCGTCGCTAGAGGGACCTTGGGCCAGCGCGACCTTCCAGGCGGCGCCATCTGGCCCCAGGAGGCCCCGCGGTCTCCGGAGGCTGCGAAGAAGCCCCCTGGCGTCCAGCGGGGATTCCTGGGTGCCCGCTCGGCTGCACTCGGACTCTCCCGAGTGGGTCCGCGCCGTTGGCTCCCTAGGGTGCGACCCTGCACTCGTTCCCACAGAGAAAAGCCTTACTGTGCCCTAGCCAGGCAGTTTGCTGGCTCAAGCACGCGCAGGGGTGCGCCTTTTGACTGCAATGCTGTTCACGCTTTACGGGGCGTCCTTAGGACTGGAGCTCGAGATTGATGCCCAGGGCCGTACAGCTCGCCCCCCCGCCCGACCTTGAGAGTGCAAAGTGAAGAGGGCAGTGGAAAGGAGGCTGGGCATCAGCACCTTGCTAGTCATGGGTAAACCGGAGCCCCCCAGGGCTGAGGAGGGTTGCACCCTTGGGCTTCGAAACATTTTATATCTGGCGTGGCTGGGAGGGTCTGTGGTTATTGATGTTTATTTGTGTCTGATGCACAGCTTACTATTAGAATGTTTACTGTTATCACAGTTCCACAATAAAATGGTGCTTGATATCAGGATTGCACAAAAGAACACAATGGGGCTTTGATGTGTTAAGTAAGCATAAAACAGGAAATGTCGCCCATACTCCAAATTGCTTTTTTAACAGGGTTTCCAAACTTATTTTTTGTCCCCTACAGCTAGGTCCTTATAAAATGCAAGGTCTCAAATTACCTAGTTGCACAGGAGCAAGCCCCATTCTTTATTCATTTAAAATGTTATTTTACATTTTATTTTATTTTAAATATTCCTCTCTCCTTCAGCCAAAAAGGCTCCTGGAGCAAGACAGTCCCTTGCCTGCAGTTTTACAATCTGAAAAGGCATGACACATAAGGAGAAACAGTCTTTGCATGTAACACAGCCAGACTTTTAGCATGCACAGGATCATGCTGTTAAGGTTAATGAAGAAAGCCATCTGGAAGATTTGAGGGGAGAACGCCCTTCTTTTTTCAAAGTTTCTCTCCAAGGGCAAACACGAGGATAAACATCCGGCTTCCACTTCATGGGAAGAAATCTGCTGAGGAAGGAGACAAAGGAGCAAAAAGAGTAGGTGGCAGAAGGAAAAGAGTTAAAAAGCTCCTTTTCTTCTCCTTGCCATTATTTCATCATTTCAATTTAAGTCTGCTTTCCTTAAACCTATAATATGGCTTTTGTCCTTTCAAATGAATTATTTTGCCATGCTGGGGTCTGATAATGTGTACATTCCTAAGCTTTGCTGAGATTTATTTATTTGTTTTAAGTTATGCTGGGTTGTTGTTGTTGTCTTTATTGTTGTCTTTGCTAGTTATTGTTGATGTTAGGAATGTTCCTGACATTGTTCCATTTAATTGCAAGTTATCTTGAGTTTGGTTTTAATCATAAAAGGCCAGGATTGACTGAGAATACATAAATATATTTCAAGAATATGAGATATGCATAGATAAAGGCAGAAACCATATGCATATTTTAAAGTACTTCACTCATCACTGGGGAATCATACCTCTTCTCTCACAAAGTACACCCCTCTACTTTGTGAGAGCACATAGTTTACCACTGCTAACATGTCACATTTTTTCTGTTTTTAATGCCACCATGACCCAAAGATTGAGCCTAAAGAAGACTTGTCCACCCCTGCAGCTGGCCTTTTGACAGACTGGGGCATAGTCCCATGCATATCCTGGTAGCCCACCTTGGGGCATAATCTTTTCTACTGACTGGTCTCCAGTTAAAGTTTACCTCCCCCTGCCTGTATGTTTCCTCTTCCCTGAGTCACCCTAAAGCAGTCAGGATTTTTGGAGGGGGAGAGACTCTGGCCCCCTGCTCTCAGCATGACCCAAAGCAGTTATCTAGATTAGCTTCACAAGAAGCAGGAGCTAAATCCCCCAATTTCTCAAGACCCCAACCTGCTGAGGTGATTGGAAGCAGGAAAAGAGGGCTTGGCCTGCCCTTGTGCTCAAGCACATGCCCATGTGGTCTCCAAGCCACCACCTAGTACAGCATGCACCCTCAGGGCTTCAGAGTAGCTCTCCACAACCTGTAAAGGTGGTGTTGGTTTCACCAGTGCCTTCCCAATACCTTTCCTATTTTTAATTATGGCCCACTCTGCCTGCTACACTTTTGAAAGGAGAACAGCACCAGTAATTTGTTTACATTTTTCTGAAGAAGCAGCAGCAATGCAACCATGGATGGAAGATGGAGCTTTCCCATCACTGGTGAAAATTACAAGGTACCAACCTTGTTAGTTTCATAGGGAAAGGGGCAGAAAAGGAAACCTGTGTCTATGAAGCTCCCTTCCCCCCACCACACATGCATGCTAACACACACACACACACACACACACACTGGGAGAAATGACAAGGTGATGGTCGGGCAGAGGACTAAAATCCACTTCATGTGGAACCCACACAAAATGGGCTGCTGCCGTGGGCTGGCATATTGGAATGGAACTTGAGAGATCTGGGTTCTAGTCTCTGCTTGGCTTTGAAGGTCACTGAGTAACCTTGGACCAGTCATGGGCTCTCCACTTAACTTGCTTCACAGGACTGTTATGAGGATAAAATGGAGAGTAGGTGTATGTAACTAATGATACTTGAAAGAGGAAAAAGACAGGATGAAAATGTAATAATAAAAGAAATAAAGGGCAGGAAGACTGAATGGCAGTTGTAGAGTCAACTTACTGATTTGCCATCATTTTATACTGACTGCATTTTAATTAGCTACTTTGATTGATCATATTTTTAATGGGATGAATGACTTCAGTATCTACTTCTTCTCAATGTTATCATTATGATGAATCTTGAAATTATATATATGCATTGCATTTGTGGGGCTGGAAACAAGATGGGATGGATCTCCCCTGTCCTCTGCCATACACCCTCCATGCCTGCTCCAGATGGCCCTGCAAAGTTTTGGAGCAGAGCAGATTTGGAAGGTGCTTTTGGGCAGCAGAGGGGAGGAGAGGACAGGGAAATCCTTTTTCACCAGTAGTAAACATTCCATTGGTAGAAAGACAATCTTGGGCCCCGTCCTCTGCATTTGTACACCACCCTGAAAAACATTTTTGGATAAAGGAACAACTAGGATTTCAGCACTTATTCTCCGGCACCAAAAGAGTACACTTAAGCCATAGTCTTATGTGTATCTACTCAAAAGCCACCTCTAAGTGTGTGTGTGTTGAGGGGTGGGGGATTTGCTGGTTAGTTTGTGTGTAGAATTGCAGCTTTATGCTACCAAAGTGATAATTTATCTTGAAGAAAAACCTTAACATTATTTACTTATTTATGTTTATAGTTTTTGTATACCATTCCACATCTAGGCGGATTCTGGTGAACAGTACAAAGCTAAAACAGATTTTAAAATATAAAAATACACTGAAAACAAGATAACATTCAAATCATGGCTGGACAGCACTTGGGCAGGAAGAAAGTCTTCCTGGAGGAAGCTGAAAGCAAACAGTGCTAGTGCCTGTCTGACCTCCCAAGGCAGCAAATTCCACAGAAATTAGATGGGCACACAGAAGGCTCCTCTCCGGATGGACTCCAGTCAGGCCATGGTCCCTGTGGAATCACCATGAGAAGGTCCCCTTGGGCAGGTTGGTAAGGGAGCAGGTGTTCTCTCAGGCATCTTGATCCCACATTGTTCAGAGACCTTAAACTTGGCCCTGTAATGAAGAGGTCACCAGTGCTGTTCTTTCAGCAAAGGAATCACATGTTGAAAAGGGCACTTCCTGCTAACAGTCAAGCTGCTGCATTCATTAAGCACTAGCTTCAGCTTCTGAAACAGCCTTAAGCACCCTCTCACATGCAGCACACTGTAGTAATCCAGTCTTGGGGTCACCAGCACCTGCATCACCAAGGTCCATCTAGCCCTGTCCAGGAGAAGCCATGGCCGGTGAAACAACCAAGGATAGTAAAAGGCACTCTAAGCTGCTGCAGTAACTTCAAACTCAGGGCCAGCAACAGATCGAGGGGTACCCACCCTAACCCATCCAGAACAGTAAATAAGTCCATCTCCCAGACTTGGGAACATGCAGCTGCAGGGCTGCTGAATTGTTTGAGTTGATTCACCCTCAACCCGCCCACCATGGAGTTGAGACACAAGAATTACACAGCCTGTCCTGAATCACTTGTCACAGAGACGGAGCTGTATGCCATCAGCATACTGATGGCACTTGGCCCCAGATCCCCTAATGGCCACTTCCAGAGGCTTCACATAGCTATTACGACAACACTGGGAACAGGATGGTACCCAGTTGCCAAGGGTCTGAGAAATAATCACTCAGTGTTACACTCTGAAATCAACCCCACAGGGAAGACTGGAACATGTGGAACCCATTGCTTCCAAGACCTCATCCTCACTCAGGAGGATACCAAGACTGGTCTCAAAAGCTGATGCAAATATAAGTCACTCCCAAAAAAGCTGAAAGAAACCAGTCATGATTGTTGTTTTAAAACATGTTTTATTGTTTGCACATAAATGGAATTCTGGTTCAGAGATAATTGAGTTGAAAAGTATTGATGGCATTGTATAATGAAATTCAGTTTTAACACATTCTTTATTTTAGCATCAAGTGGGTCTAATCCAGCTTGACAGCAAGAGGACATTACGCATAAGCACACCTCTGCTTGTTTTCTTTCTAGTTTTTAGGAAGGAAACCTCCTTTGTATCAACCTTTCATACTGATAGCATTCTCCAAATGTGGATTCTTATCTAGCCAAATGACATC